TGAGTCTGTGACTCCTCTTTGTTTTTTCTTGTTTTTTTTTTTTAATTTTAATTTTATTTTGTATATAGTTTTGTTTGGATTATTATTATTATTATTATTATTATTATTATTATTATTATTATTATTATTATTATTATTATTATTGTTGTTGTTGTTGTTGTTATTGATATTGTTATTGTTATTGTTATTGTTGTTGTTGTTATTATTGTTGTTGTTGTTATTATTGTAATTTGATAATTTGGAGAATTCTCCAAAATTTTAAAAAATTCGCTTGTTTAACATTTTATATTTAATCAAAACATCAAAAATATTATTTAATAACTTAACAAATTGCTTCAAGCTGCTAAAAACAACACATATACATTTTGGGTTAATCTTAGCCAAACCCCCTAATAAATAAATAAAAATTAAAATAAGAAGCCATTAAAATAAGGTTTCTTAAATAAGAGCCTTTTGAAACGTTGGGCTTCAATAGGTTGAGTAAGTCTATATGAACAGATATTACATGTAACACGGTGAATCGAATAGTTATGCTGTGGAACCGTGTCCACTTTGCAATCAGGTGGACACAGTTCTATGTTCATAATTACTGAACTATATGTTCATAATTATAAAGCTAAATATTCGGAATCTTTGAACTTCATATTCATAATTATTGAACTCTATATTCACAATTACAAAACTCTATATTGATAATTACTAAACTATATGTTCATAATTATAAAGCTATATATTCATAATTTTTAAACTTCATATTCACAATTATTGACTCTCTATATTCATAATTACATAACTATATGTTCATAATTATATTCACAACACTATATTCATAATTTTAGAACTATATATTCATAATTTTTGAATTATATATATATAATTATGAGCAATTTTAGAACCGTGTCTACCTTGCTAGGTGGACACGATTCCACAACATAATTTGACATGTCAATAGTACTCAAAAAATAAAATATTTGCCTTTGGACTTCTCAATACTTGTCCACATTGATGGACAAATAATTATATTTGTAAGAAGAGCATTGCTCCTCTTATATAGAGGAGAGAGCTCATTTTCCAAACATTTTCAATGTGGGATCAAAATGATCCAACATCATTTACAAAGGGGAGCCTGGCTCCTTTTTGTCTTCTTCTTTTTTTTTTTTTTTTAATTTTAATTTTATTTTGTATATCGTTTTATTTGGATGATGATGATGGTGTTTGTATATCGTTTTGTTTGGATATATATATTCATAATTTTTGAATTTCATGTTCATAATTATTAAATCTCTATATTCATAATTACATAACTATATGTTTATAATAATGTTCACAACACTATGTTTATAATTATAGAACTATATATTCAAATTATAGAACTATATATTCATAATTATGAACAATTTTTGAACTGTGTCTACTTTGCAAGGTGGACACGGTGCCACAGCATAATTTGTCTGAGTCAATAATACTAAAAAAAAAAAAGTCTTTGGACTTCTCAATACTGGCCCACATTGATGGGCAAACAATTATATGTTTGTAAAATGAGCAATGATCCTCTTATACAGAGGAGCTCAAGAGCTCCTCTTTCCAAACATTTTTAATGTGGGATCAAAATGATCCCACATCATTTACAAAGGTGAGTCACCTTTGTCTCTTTTTTTTTTTTTTAATTTTAATTTTAATTTGTATATAGTTTTGTTTGGATTATTATTATTATTATTATTATTATTATTATTATTATTATTATTTACGAATTAATAGATTTTATTTAATTTCCATTTGAGATTTACTTACCAAATAAGCTTTACTGCAAAAGTTTGGGGGGAAAATGAATTAGGATGATTTTGTTTTTAATTATATATAGATATAGATAAATTGATTCTATTTCATTTTTTAAGCAAAATCTTCCTTAAAGACTAATAGTAAAATAAAGCTAACTTATTAATAATCGATTCTATTACATTTTTTACGCAGAATTTTTCTTAAAGATTAATAGTAAAATAAGGCTAAATTATTAATAACCAATTCTATTCAATTTTTAATGCAAAATCTTTCTTAAAAAGACTAATAGTATCTTAATGATTCTTTTTCTTATACTGCTTATTGATTCTTTTCCATTTTTCTGAGTGTAGAAAAATTCACATCCTAACATTTTCTTCCATTCATTTCTATTTTCCCATATTATTATTAATTTCATTCCCAATATTATTCTATATTGTTTTAGCGTACGGCTTCGTTCCATTCATTTCTATTTTTTGCATATTATTATTATCCTTATATGACTGTATAATACTTTGTATATACACATAATATTTATTAATATGTATATAGGAAAGTCCTATAATATAATTTCATTAATTATAATTTATATTGACAGATTTATACTTAAAAAATTATATTTAGAAATTTAAAGAGTATATGTATGTATATTTAAAAAAAATTATAAATATTCATGTTTTGTTAATTTTAAATTGCATTTCTTTAATTATATTTCATATTTTATTAATTATAATTTAATGAAATTGTCACAAATATGTCTACGGAAGAAATCATATATTTCTCAATTTCATTAATTATATTAATTATAATTACCAAATATTGTGGCAATTATCACAATAATTTCATTAATTATAACATTTGTTTTCTTTCAATGTTTAAATACATTACTATAAAATTACCATAATAACAACACAAAAAAAGGAAAGAAAAATTATGAGAATAATCTATATATATATATATATATATATATATATATATATATATATATATATATATATATATATATATATATATATATAATTAAAAGTAAAATCCTCCTAACCAAGTTTATCTCCAAAACTTAGGGGCATATATATATAAATTACATATTTACCATATATGCATATTTTGTGTTTATATAGTATAATTTTTGGTATCAAACATTTGAATGGTAATAAACGGGGGAAAATGTCAACATACAAATGATAATTAATTCTTTCATTACTATACTAATTTTAATGGTAATTCATTAATTATTATATTTCACGATGAGTCAGCCTGTTCATGCCCATCATTTTTCAAGAAACATAGAAATGAAATAGTCAATTATTAAAATTGTTTATGATTTCGTTTTTAATTTTTGTCTAAAGTTAAAGATATATATATTTTCGGCGATTATAACATTTTGTGTATTAACTGAAAATTTGAAAGTTTTACCTTTTTGGAGATCTCTTACCATTTTATAATTTCAATATTGTGTTATTTTGAACTCATCCATGGTGTATAAATACACTCTATATGACCATACAAAATCCATTGAGGAGACATTTGTACTCAAGAGTAAACTTCTCCTTAAACTAAATTCAGGTGTCAATAAAATCTCCGTTTTCATTCATAATGATATTCCTATTTCTGAGTCTCTCATCACCGTTCGGTACATCAATGATGTCTGGATTTCTGGGTCTTCCATTGTTCCCTTTGATCCTTATGATTGTGCCTTTGCCAATATTTTTTTATTTGGGTTCAGTACAACGTGGATTTTTTTAGGAGGTTTCTCTAATTAAATTTTTGGTTAAAAATTTATATTTCCTTTGTATTTTATTTTATTACTTTTTTATTTATTTATACTAATATGTGAATGGAGTAACACAACCACAAAATCTGAAATTGTATTTGTTATTTATTTCTTCTTTTTAAATAATCATTATTTTTGTGTTTTACAAAAATTTAGAAAAAATCAAATATAGTGAGATTTTTAATAGGTTAAACAAACACTCTACTCAAGTTGTGATATATATATATATATATATATATATATATATATATATATATATATATATATATATATATATATATATATATATATATATATATATATATATATATATAAATTATAAAAATGCTGTAAAATGAACTATGCTTGGTAAAAAAAATCATAGAAACTTGAATGGCATGTACAAATCTCGAAGTCAACATACTAACTCTAAATTTCAGAAAATCTTACAAAATTATCAAAATTACCGTCTTTATCATCCTCGATCGCATCTCTACAATCTTTCATAAAAACTAAACCAATAGGGTTCTGTTATAAATGCTCTTCCTCCTTAATTTCCTTTTGTTGAAGCAGAGCCTCCTTAAGTATCTTCAAACTCATACCAGATGATATAAACTGCAAAACATATTGAAGTACATGAGAATATAGTTAGAAAAATGTAGAAAATTCATACAAAAAAGAAAGCAGAGAGATAAGTCTGGGATTCTTTGATTGAAGAAGTCATTGTATTTATAGGTAGAAAATACTAATTCAAAAGGAAAGTATATAATAATTTATTTAATTTAGGGAAAGTATAATAATTTATTTATTTAAGGTAATAACATTATTATTATTATTATTATTATTATTATTATTATTATTATTATTTATTTATTTATTTTGCATTTGACATTTACTTACCAAATAAGTTTTACAACAAAAGTTTTGGGGGAAAAATTTGTTAGGAGGATTTTACTTTTATATATATATATATATATATATATATATATATATATATATATATATATATATATATAGATATATATAGATATAGATATTGATAGATTACAATAATAATATAACCATAATTAAATATTTTTCTATTCTATATTCTTCTAGGATTTCTATTACCATTGTTAATTATTTCATCATCTACCATAATTAAATAATTTGACCAATACAATTAGTTTGGACTGAAAATGGTAATAGGATTTTACTTTTAATTATATATATTATATACTCCCATATTATATATATAGAATAGAATATATAGATATATAGATTTGATAGCAGAAACAGTATTTTCCTTTCTATTAACCCATGGATGAGTTTAGTCGAGCAGTTTGATACGGAGTATCCTGCAAACGCATAAGAAATTTATTAAATTTGACAACAGCTTCCACGTGTCACTAATCGTCGGACACGCCTGTATTTCTCTCTCTCCTATATATACCGCACCACACCACTCCAGCATTTCATCAAAACAAGTAAACAACTGTGTTTCTTTTCTCCGGCGTCATCTCTGATCAAAACTGGGGGGGGGGGGGGGGGAGAGAGAGAGAAGAGGTGAATTGCCGTTCTGATACGCTCTTGAAAACCCCATTGTGTAAGAAAAGCATGCTGAGGATTGTGTCGTGTGGGAGAAAGGTCCAACGTTGTGGTTGGTCGGAGCAGAGAAGATGGCTTTCTCAGCCGGGGGTTGCCCAGAAACAGGGGAACGATGTTGCGTTGGGCGTGCCTCGAATGCCAAGCTTCGATTACTCTCCTCCGCCGTATAATGGCCCCGCCGCCGATGAGATTCTGATGAAGCGGAAGAAGTTCCTCAGCCCTTCAATGTTCTACTTCTACCAAAAACCAGTAAATTCTTGTTTTTTTTCTCTCTCTTCTTTGTTCTGTTTTAAAGCATTGAAAGATCACCGGACTTGATTCTTTTATGTCATCAACTTTTCAATGTTCATATTAAATCAGAATTGTGTTTACTTGATCTTTGAGTGAGACAATACTATTGGACAAAGACCGGTGAAAGTCAAGTCTAGCATCTCACTGAGATTATTGGACCGAGACCGATAAAGGGTCAAGTCCAGTACCAAAATAAAGTTTTGTCTAATTTTTGGTATATTGATAAACGTTGCGTTATTTATATCACAGTTGAATTTGGTGCACGGAAAGATGCAATACTTGTACGATGATAAAGGGCGAAGATATGTTGATGCATTTGGGGGGATCGCCACCGTGAGCTGCGGCCACTGCCACCCGGAGGTGGTGGAGGCGATCGTGGAGCAGACAAAACGGCTGCAACATTCGACGATTTTGTACCTTAACCCAGCAATCACAGATTTCGCCGAGGCACTTGCTTCCAAGATGCCTGGTGATCTAAAAGTAAACCTTAAATAAATCAAACAAGCAATTATATATGTGTACAAGGTTGTGTTTTTCAATTAATCATATATGTGTACAAGGTTGTGTTTTTCACGAACTCTGGGACTGAGGCGAATGAACTGGCGATTATGATGGCGCGGTTGTACACTGGTTGTCAGGATATCATTTCTCTTAGGAACGCATATCATGGCAACGCCGGAGCTACTATGGGTGCCACTGCACAGTGTAACTGGAAATTTAACGTTGTTCAGGTACTAAGACGACGACTTATCTTTGTATTTCACTTTCACTGTTCTTCGCGGGCCGGCCGGCCTGCTAATTGATGCTTGCTCGTTTCCACAGACTGGTGTTCACCACGCCGTGAACCCGGATCCCTACAGAGGTGTTTTTGGGTCCGATGGGGGAAAGTATGCAAAGGATGTGGAAGATCTTATCCAATTTGGTACTTCTGGCCATGTTGCAGCTTTTATATCTGAAGCAATTCAGGTAACTCTCTTTGAAATCTCATATTTAGACAATTATTTTCTTGCTTATCCAATAATTGGTGGCTAAAGGGATTGTTAGGTTGAGAACGTCAAGCTCGATTAGCACTCTGCCTCTAAAAAATGTGACAGTATAGGTTAACCCAGTTAAGATGACAAAAGATTTGCATTTATAATCACAAAATTACGAGTTCGAACCCTTGACCCTTGGTTTGAGCCGGTAATTACGAGTTCGAACCCTTGACCCTTGGTTTGAGCCGGTTAGCTATAGGCAGTGTTGCAAAAATAGCATTAATTGCCTAGGCGCTAGGCGGTCGGCCTCCTAGACGCTCTCTAGGCGCTCTAGGCGTCCGCCTAGGCGCTCTAGGCGTCATAGGCGGTCCCCAAGCACCTAGTGATTTATGCAACATTGGCTATAAGTAATCTAGGCTGATTTACTTCCTTGTAGTCCTTTGCGGGCTAGGATTACAAGGCGGGATTTACCTACACTCGAAAGGGTTGTGAGGTTTTCCTGATTGAGATAAGATATAACTTTGGGTATACTGATATGTGTTTGATTCTAACATTTTACATATGTATATGCCTACTTAGGGGGTAGGTGGCATAGTAGAACTGGCACCGGATTACTTGCCGGCGGTGTACAAAACTATAAAGAAAGCTGGAGGCCTTTGTATCGCGGACGAGGTTCAGGCTGGATTTTCCAGGACAGGAAGCCACTTTTGGGGGTTCGAGAATCACGGTGTTATCCCCGACATAGTGACAATGGCAAAAGTTAGTTTACCTTTGTTTGTCCTATGAATAAATATGTTAGCCTGTTTGGCTGTTTATACAAGACAACAACATTATATTCTCACAGGGAATTGGAAATGGGATCCCTCTGGGAGCAGTGGTGACAACTCCAGACATTGCTGAGGTTTTGACTCGTCACAATTACTTCAACACCTTCGGAGGAAATCCTGTGTGCACAGCAGCCGGGCACGCTGTTCTCCGAGTAGTGGAAAGGGAGGGGCTTCAAGCAAATGCCCACACCGTCGGTTCCTACTTGAAACGCCGCCTAATCGCCCTCAAGGATAAGCACCAGAGTATGATTACTTAGCGGTAGAGTGAAGTATACAGATGTGTCATGTCTGATCTGAGGCTGCAATTTGTGCTTTTTTTTTTCAGTTATTGGTGATGTGAGGGGAAGAGGGCTCATGCTGGGGGTGGAACTAGTCACTGACCGGGAAGAGAAGACACCGGCCAGGGTAGAAATTCTGCATGTGATGGAGCAGATGAAAGGTATGTAACATCTTCAACCCAGCCTCTTGCCATTTTTCTTTGTGGCATATATGTTCATTGTACCAAAAAACCAACTATCTTCTTGTTGGGCGGAGGCGGGTAAGGGCTAAGTCCATCAATTGGTGGCTAAGAGACTGTTGTGGAGGTCAGCGAAAGGACAAGTTCAGCACCCTGTCTCTTGAAAATGTGATAGCAGTAATAAGTTGCGTTTTTGGTATAGTTATAACTTTTGGCGTAATGATAAAGTGTTTGGTCCTAACAAGTGGTGACAGAGTCAGGTGCTGGGAGGGAATAGAATTCCTGGGCAGAGGCTGGTGAAAGGCCAAGTCCAGCACCCTCCTATCCAAAATTTGATTGCAGTCTATAAGGAAATAAGGTTGCGCCTTTTATAGTGGTAAAAACTTGATTCTAACATTCTATTGCCATTATTTGTTGTCTAGATTTGGGGGTGTTAATTGGCAAGGGTGGATTGTATGGAAATGTGTTCAGAATCACTCCTCCACTCTGCTTCTCTAAAGATGATGCTGATTTTCTTGTGGATGTCATGGACTATGTTATGTCAAAGATGTGAAGAAGATTATGATGATGCTATGATGCGAAAATTGGTCACGAAGACATCAAATCTCTTTCTTAATTAAATCTATTGTACTGCCTATATAAACCAAGTTCTACTATGCCAATATATGCCACTTTAATCTTGATCTAATCCCAATTTTTATAATGTTAATATGATGTTGGCGCCTTGTTATGTTTAGTCAACAAATGCAAACAAATTAAAGCACTATATTATCAATGAATTGAACTCAACACTACTACAATAGATCAGAGAAGCCCCAACTGATCCACAGTTGAAAACCCAATTCAAGTACCTGATGATATCACTGTTACCATTAAGGTCACAGATTCGAGCCCCATCCCAATCAAGGATGTCGGCATAATCATGTTGAGTTGAGCTAGCGGTCGTGGCGGGTAAACCCGGAGAACATAGGCGGGTGGTGGCGGGTTGAAACGGCGGCGTTGGGCCGCCTCATGACGGTGCTCGAAAACCGGAAAACGGAGACGAGAATCGAACCCAAATCCAGCAACACATGCGCCAAATCTTGGTACACATTCATGCTTTTCCTAAACATAACATGCATCACCGTGGAGAAAGCATCGCCAAATCTAAACATTGTTTAGCTCTATGTGTCGTCTGCTTTTCTCTGCACTTTTTCTCTGTTGGCTGTATTGGGGTAGTATGAAAAGGAGCCTTAGTTTGATGCAATGAAATAGAATCCAATCGCACCTAACGTCATATTATATTATATTCTACCTAATAAGTAATAATAATAATATATAAAGATGGGATGGACGGATGGTGCAGCTGCTAGTAGCTACAAAAATATGCCATACTTACTTCTATGCCCTTCGGTACTTCTTCTATGGTTTTTTCAGTTTTTACCTATCGTGTGGTTAAACAAGAAGATGAATATCTTTTCTGTACGTCAAATAAATTAAAAAAAAAAAATGTTTCGTTCATTTCAAAGGGATAAAATTTATTCAACTTTGCAGGCCGTTCCTAAATCTAGCTTATTATATTTATTTGATTGAGGCAAAAACTTATACGAGACCGTCTTACTGGATCCTCGTTTGTAAGTCGGGTTGAATCAGCAAGATAAAAATGTAATATTTATACTAATCAGGAATAAAATGTTTATTAGTTATAAAGGAAAGCATAATATTTTGAAGAAAAATATAATACTTTTAAAAGAGTACACTTTCTATTATAAGTAACAAACATTTTATTTATTAGTATTATGATTTTCAATATAAGTATTACATTTTTCCATCTTGACTTGACTTGTTTCATTGACAAGGATCCGTGAAACGGTCTCACAGAATAGTCACTCATTATATGAGGGTTAATTACGATTTGGATGAAATTAATAGATTTTCTAAACTATCACACAAAGGTAAAAATGTTCAAAATTTTTTGAAAGTTTATTAGTTTTAATAGAAGGTAAAATTTTACTATCATAAAACATACGAATATAAATTGAGGAATACTAATAAAGGTTCAGTCTTATAAACAAAACTAGGATTAACTTTTGTGTGAGACCAACTCGCGTGAGATGTTAATATTTTTTACTTACAAAGTATTATATTTTAATTTAAAATTATTAAATGTCTTACAATGGCAAATTATTGTGTGGACCACGGTCCAAAACAGTGTTATGTATATTATGAGTAAAAATAATGTACATTATATGTTAGAATAATGTACATTATGTGTTAAAATAATGTACATTATATATTTGGAATAATGAAATATCTGGGTAACATAATGTACATTATGAGTTATAAAAATGTATGTTGCAGTTGGACGAGCGAAAAAATAAAATTAAGCAAAACGACGCCGTTTTTAAACCATGGTCCACACACCTTTTTTGGACCACGGTCCATTCAATAACTATTGTCTTACAATGAGATGGTCTCACAGCATACTTATTTCAAAATTAAAGGTGTGTTTGGTTCATGGGTTTACACACTAGGAATGTGAATCAAAATCATAGTTATTGTTTTTTTTTTTTTTTTTTTGAATGCTACTGGCTCTATTACAATGTAGTATTTGTTCATATACTTTTTCAACCTATTGAAACACAAAAAACCAATAACACCTCCACTGAGGCTTGAACTCACAACCTTCCAAATGAAAATCCAACCTGGATACCATTAGACCACATAGTCTTGGTAACTATGAATTTGATTACCCTCTTCAATTAAGAATCTTATTCCTTAATTAAAAATGAATATTATTCCATCTTATATTGGTAATTTGGTTTTTAAGTTTGGATTAATGTTTTTAAATTTTTGTTTTGATTTTTTGTTCATATTGGTGTTTTGGATGTTATTATATTATGATCAATTACCTTGATTTTTTGTTTTTATATTTTTAAAAATTTTATTCTCATTATAAGGTCATATATTACCAAACATCAATTTGGTAATCATTTCAATTCTAGCCTACTACCAAACATGTAAAATACTTTCACCAAAATTCATTACAATTACTAACTACTAAGTATTTGATTCTCATTCTGATTTCGATTTTATGTGTGATCCAAACACACCATAAATATAGTAATCAAATAATTACAAAGTAATTATTAGAGGCATGTATAAATATATGTAATGTTGACTTGATCACTTGATTTGGTAAGAGATTTAAGGATGCAAATTGGTGGTAACTAAGCAATGAGTTTTTATTTCCTTTGGAATTGCAAAAAAAAAAAAATGCTTACAGAAATGTAGGTTCTTTAAGATTTTTATGTAAAGGTCATAAATAGAAAATGTGTAGATCTTTTATAGATCATTTGACTAACTTAGATGTATCAAGTTTCAAAGAAAGTGTTACGTATGAACATTTATTAGAGAACTAGTTTTTGTAGGTGGGATAATGCCCAATATTTTTTTTTTAAAAAATAAGTACTTTAAAGTATATCAAGGCAGGATTAAATTAAAATTGTTCATGCATAGATAATTGAATGTTAAATTTGCATTTTAAATAGGTGATTCTAAGTTTACAAATGCAAGATAATATAGTCAAGATTGATTATAATTGTCAATAAAATAATTGTATAAGTATAGTTGAAACCAAATACGGGACATAAGGAGAGCAAATAAAAATTAGGGCATAAAATATTAAATATATACTAATATTGAAGAGCTAACTGCTGATTACCAAACAAGGACATTGCGAGATAGTTTCCCACTTCAATTTGTTGTGTGATTTGAATACTCTTTTGTCAATAAGTCCCCAAGTAGTTAATATGATTCGCTTAATTATATTTTTTTAAACTATTATTATTATTATTATTATTATTATTATTATTATTATTATTATTATTATTATTATTAATATATGTATACCCTTAGGTCATTTTACATGTTAATCTAAACATCTAATTTTTTAAATATCATTTTACCAACCGTTGATATAATTCCCTGGTCAAATACTCAAATGTGCTAATATAATCCGCTAACGCTAACCGCTAACTGCTGATTGTCAAACAAGGACATTGCGAGATAGTTCTCACTTCAATTTGTTGTGTGATTTGAATACTCTCTTTGTCAACAAATCCCTCGAGTAGTTAATATGATTGACTTTATTAATTATATTTGTTTTATTTTTCATGGTATTAATAAAATATTTGGTAAATAAATATATAGCATTATTTTGTATTATAAATTTGATATTTAATTAAAAAAAATAGTACACAAAAAAGATAATAGACAATATAGTGTATATAATCAATTGATGAATTTGAATGAAAAAATTTTTACATTGAAAAAAAATAAAGACAATATAACTAATAAAATTACTTCTCTTAATTAAATATAGGTTCTTTAAGATTTTTATGTAAAGGTCATAAATAGAAAATGTGTAGATCTTTTATAGATCATTTGACTAACTTAGATCTATCAAGTTTCAAAGAAAGTGTTACGTATGAACATTTATTAGAGAATATTAATTACTACGCCTAAAAGCCTTTGGGGCTATGACTCAAGAGGGAAAGATTTAAACCTTTTATTGTTATTACGGAGTATTTTTTTATCTTTTTTTTTTTTTTTTGAAAATATTTTTTTTTTTTTTTATCTTTTAATTATACCAAAGATGGTAAATTTGAATTTGATCAATTTTTATTCCTACCTTCGCATCATCACCAAATGTACAACACATTTTATATACTCATATCTCATTTTACTTATTTATTCATGATTCATTAGTAACTTTCCATACTTCTCTTATTTTTAAAAAATATTTTTAAAATTTAACTTGTTATGTTTAATAATACCTTTTGATGAATCTCAACGTTACACTATACTGACTTTCCAGTGGGAAGTGACCTATAAAACTTCTTTGATTATCTACTTGTCACATCCTATTTAAAATCAATTGGTGATAAGTAAGTAGATATTAATCATTTAATCACATTCATTCATGGGAAGTCATAACGTCACATCTCGAATCGAGCAGGGGCTGAACTCGGTCAACCCGGCCGACGGCCAACACTTTTAATCTAATAATTTTTAATTGTATAAAATATAAATATAATACAATAATACAAAAAAACTAAATATTCAAAAAAAATATTGAACTAAATCTTTAGAGGGTTGAAATTTGTTAGAAACTCTGAAGAACGAGTTGAATGACCGGATTGGATGGGGTAAAGTAAGAAACGGAAGAGATGAAAATTTTGTAGAAGAGTAGAAGTTAGAAGGGGCAGAAGGTCAATATACCCAAGTTGCATAGCAGCTAAGAAAGAGACATATAGAATGAGGACATGATAGAGTCATTTTAGGGTGGATCCATTGCGCTTTAGATCGTTCGTACGCGAAATGGCATGGAAATGGTGAGAAATATGTCGACATGCACGTGCCGCAGCCTGCTTCGGGTGTATTTTGGTGGCTAATTTAAATCAACCAAGAAAGTGGATATAAGTTTTAACTATTTTTACTTTTTTTTTTTTTTTTTTTAGTGCTACTAACTCTATTAGACTATTACAATGTAGAGTCTGTTCATAACTACTTTCTCAACCTACTGAAGTCTGAAGCATAAAGAGTTAATATCGCATCCATTGAGACTCAAATTTATAAAGAAAATTTATGGAAGCAATCAGTGGCGAAGCCAAAAAGTCGGGGTTGGGGGCCAAATTTATAAAGAAAATTTATCATCTTAGTCGATATTAGTACCAACCACACAATATT